TGGACCAGGACACATACACTGAAGGAAGTTGTGCACTTACCAAGCTGTGCCTGCCAGCTTCCCGAATCCAGCGGATGTTGTCATGATACTGCTGCTTCACAGATGTGCTCACTTGCCAGAGAAAACAAGAAAAAACATTTTGAAAATGAATGCAATATGCTCTAAGTTTAATTTAATTCATCTGACAGCACTAGGAAGTCAAATTCTACTCTCAGATACAAGCACGCATATAGGAAGTGCTATACAGAATCTTCTGTGTGGCTGATGCAGTAACTGGTACCATACATTTAGAGGTAGGTACAAGATGTCACCCAGGAGACAGCTGGAACAATAACTCCCATTTAGATCTCTAGCAAACTAAATTAAACCTTGAAATATGGGCTACATGTACTGTTAACTCCTGTTCACCTGGCTTGCTGCCTACTAAATGCCAATCCCTTTCTGAGCCTCTGCTAAATTAGTAGCTTTAGCAAACTCCATGACATTGGGTACTACAGGCATCAGGTAGTAAATAACTCCTTTGAGTCAGCCAGCAGAAATTCCCAGCAGCAGCTGGCAATACACACTTGAGGATAAGTTACACCAGTGCTGGGATATAGATCTGTAGCACAGCAGTTGCTCTGTACTACGTGACCCACGTGAATGCTTTTATCCCAAGATAAACCTGAGATCTCTTGTCCTACAGACTGAGGTATGTTGCCTCACGTTATTATGGAACACAAACTGCACAGGGAAGCTTATCATGGAGTAGCTACTTTATGTGTAAATCCACCCTATACCTTGTTTACATCTATAGGCCAGGTTGGATGGGGCTTGGAGGAACCTGCTCTAGTGGAAGGTGTCCCTGCCCATGGCAGGGGGTTGGAACTGGATGAGCTTTAAGGTTCCTTCCAACACAAACCAGGCTGGGATTCTATGATACATGTTTTCTAAAAGAATTATATACAATGATTTTATGTACTCCAGCTTCTACTCTCATTTATATCTGTGCCATCCCATCTTGAACATGTCCCTGGTAACTGAGTGTTTAGATTGTCTGCCCACTAGGCAGTATGTCAGCAGATATACGTAGTAAAACTAGAAACAGGGAAGAGGAAAGGCAAGATGCTCATATTTAATCTGAGTTAAACACACTGTTAAAAGGGAGATATAAAATATGCTAATTCCTGCAGAGACAGGCCTCCATACAGAGAGTTTTAATGACCCTAAAAAGACCTGTCAGTGCTTTAGGGGCTGGCTCCAAGTGATGGCTTCTAAACTCTGCAACGAGGATTAACATGTCAGCTCATAGCTTCACAGGGAGTGGAAGATGAAACATCTGCTAGTGATGCTCTAGTGGGATTGTGCTGCCATTCATAAGCTTTAAGGAAGCATCTTCTAGAAAGTAACGGGTAATATTCACTTAGGTTGTTAGAGATATTTAATGAGAGTTTACAGGAGTTACTCTAGAAAAACAAATAGAGTATGAGTTCCTATTTCACTTTTATAAGCTATCTCAGAGAGCACATACCATGTTTTACACTTCACAGTGCACAGACTTAGAGAAAAGATCTTTCTGTCTTTACTTCTATAGAACATACCCAGAAAGAAGCCATATGAGAATACTGGCTACAAGGACATGTCAATACAGCACATCTGTCCCAGCCAGCTCCAACAAACACTCATATTCTCTGTCCTAAACTGTGCTGTGTCCAAAGTTGGATTTCATCAGTTAACCCTGGCAATGTGAAGAATCCTCCCTTTTATTTAGTCTTCAGTGATGTCTTTCATGAAAGAAGCAACAAATATTTCAATATTACCAATTAAAAATACTATGCTCTCATCCCAATAAAATACACTTTGGATTTGTGACCTATTTCCTTCTGATCCCCTCTTGATTCCGAGAAGCACAAAGTTCCACCCTCTGGAAAAGGAAAAGCTGAGGACTTCAGTGTTAGGGGGCAGTGACATTTAAGTCTGAGTCTAGTGTCCAGTTACTGTGAGGGTAGGCAAAGGGATAAGAGTAGGGCCTTCCACTGCAACCTGGTTAGGATTCATGTTTGCTGACACAAAATGAGCTCAGTTCCCATTCAAAAGCAGGGGATAACAGTAATAACCCACTTTCAGGGATGTGTTATTCCTAGATACTACAGTAACATACAGAGCCAGGCAGATACTCCAGATTGGTTCCACCAGCGAGTAGAAACTGCTGTCAGTTTATTAGCAACTGACAAAAGGAAGTCCTCAAAATTGTAATCACAGATAAGTGACACTGGATGGAGCACCACACCCGGGAAACCTGGTTTCATGCCACTCATCTGCTCACCAGCATCTTAAATCCCTCCCTAGATTCCCTCCCCTCATTCACCTGTGAGACCGGGCAAAGCAATTTGACTCCTTTAAGGAAAGGTCTCCTCTTGGAGACCTGTTGATGAAAGATGCTGTTTGCCTTGAAGTTTCAAGGTGACAAAGTGCAGGAAAACCCTTAAGAAATGAGAAGAAAGGCTCTTAGCCCAGACTGCAACTATAGCTTTGGGATCAATAATCTCTCTGCATGGTGTTTTGTACCTACTGGTTACACTCCTTACAGGAGTTTGGAGAACAGCAAGATTTGGTGCTTGTGTGGAACAGACAAGAGACTCCTCTCTATGGTTTCAGCCAAGAGCTCACACATTTCACAACTCTCAGCTTCCTCTTCTCCCCAGAAGAACTCCCAGCACTGGGGCATGGGATGGCGTCTTACCTCCCTGACGTATAGACTCCTCCAGCACAGACATAGCAATGGAGTCAGTGGTAGCAAGATCCTGTGGGTCACCTGAGGTACAAACCCAGCGGAATGGCCCAAATCCCAGGGAAAAAATGTCCCTGGGAAGAGAACATGCTTCATTAAGAGATAGCTGAAATTCTTTCCTTATTTATGCTGGCTGCTAGCAGTGCTTTTCTTTCATTAGCTGGAGACAGAAGAATTTGAAACATTTTCAATGAACTAATCTAAACAGAAGCATCAAGGACCATTAATTGAGAAATTAAGCAGTGCTGTTCCACACAGCCATTGACTGGAGTATCAAATACACCAGGTTTGTGATAGGAATACTGGGCAGTTCAGTCAAACAAGTGCATCATCAGATGAAGTGCAAGTTTTCCTCTGTTTCACCAGATATACTGTCCCTGCTGCCTGGTCTTTTTGTGCTTAACCCAGGCTAATTGAGTGCATCTTCATTCTGCAGGTTCTGAACAAGTGCCTGAGTCCAAACTCATTTGCTGTCTACGTTGCTTACACACAATAGTAAGACATGCTTCGGTTGAGTTCCGGGAGAGATCTAATCTGGCTGGTGCTTTACTCCATGTTCAAGCTCTGATTCCCATGGTATAGGCAAGTTAAGCATGAGTCAGAGGCCAAAGTGTAACTCTAAGGAAGGTAATAAAAAACATGAGCATGACGTAAGCATGATGCAAGCATGATGCAAGCACGATGTTTATAGCCAAGAGGACATCTTCCTAAACCACACTAGGCATTACTCCAGAGTGGAGAAAAATAAGACTAACCCTGACGTAACACCTGTAAGATGAATTCACCCACTGCTATTGACTCCTTTTCATCATTTATAGTACATTGCAAGACCTGCACTAAGTAGAATCTCTGTAGTACTCTCCCCTAAACAGAGGGGGTCACGAAGGACTTGAATGCTTGATTCCAAACTCTTCCCCAACATACCCCATGATGTGCTGGACGTAGGAAGGGTATCGGAATTCTGTTTTATTGGCTCCTCTTTTCTCAACATCAGCACCTATAGAAGAATTTAATAGTCAGTGACTTGGGGAAGAAAAACTATAAGATGTAAAACCAGATTCCACCTGGATTCCTGGGAAGCCTTTATCTCACCCACAGAGGTGCTCAGGGCTCTCAGAATGAGAGAAAGATAGACTAAAGAGTTTGCATAACAGTGGCCAACCCTATCCTACCAAAATATATAGCAAGATCGTCCTTATTTCCACCCAGCAACTCCAGGATCTACTCACCAGCTCTTTGAGCTTCCAAGAGAAAAGCATTGCCATAATCCCAAAAAAACATGCCCTTGTCAGCTAGTCTGTTAATAGCAGCCACTTGTCTCTTCAGACTGAAATAAAGAAGGAAACATTTATTCTTGAGATTGATAAAATATCAAAAAAAGAATCATTTTCACTTGCAAGCTTCTAAGTCAGGAGTAGTTCTTATACACCAGAGACCACTCCTGAAACGGTGGGTAAGTGATGCTTCTCAGATTCCTAGTGGTAGCTGTATATGTACAAAGTTGGGCTTTATTAGTACTTTAGCTCTACCCCAGATTTCTAGTGAAGTATCAAAGAACAGGAACTTGCTGTGAGAAAGACAAAGATGTGATCACTTGCAGAGCAGCTAAACTTGCAGAGCAGCTAAACTTAAAGGTTAAAACCAGGTATCACCAAAGGATTTACCTCTCTTGAACCAGGGTCCGGAACTTCCCTGGGTTAGTGGAAAGGAGTTGCTTTGCTTCCTCAAAGCCAAGCTGTACTGGATAGTACCCCCCATTGAATGGGTTATGACATGAAGTCTGGTCAGATCCCAGATCAACCAGCAGCTCTCCTGTTGTGTCCAACTCATGCACCAGTCTCTCCCTGGGGAATACACAGAATGGAGGGTTCAAACAGGAGCTGTCATTTCACATTCTAGCTCCTCATCCAGGTAAACTTCTTCCATCCCAAGGAGTTGTTTATGAAGGTATGCTTTTGCAAGGCCAACTCTTTGTTTTAGCAGTCAGGAGGTGGGAAACGATGGTGCAGCTTTTATACTTCACATTTACCTGCTCAGGAATGCTGCTAGATGAGCCAGATACCAGAATGACATAACAGTCTCAACCTTTGGTATATGGTGTGACAGCAAGATTTCTACTGAACAAAGAATTTCGATCCATCATCTGGTTATTTTTACCCAATCAATACCTCAATAGTTCTATTCTTCACTGAAGTCAAATTAATTTTCTTGCTACCCAATTAGCAAAATGTTAGAAGGAAAGGAATGAATTCTTTCTTCATACAAGGAAGAATCTTAAGGATTTCTTTCCTTAAGAAATTCACTGTTCCATAAGGAAAGGAGCATGGGGAGCAACTAGGAACTGGAACACAAGGGTGAAGACCCCTCTTTTGACAACACAGTTTTTCATGAGCATCTAGAGTAATGAACTCAGCACTAAACTTAATGCCTTTTCTTTTCCAAGCTTGGAAACTAACTCCAGGTTGACTAACAAGCCAGAGCATTTATATATGCATTATCCATATATACTACTTACCATAGATCAACCACGTTCCCATGGTAACCCAAACTAAGGGCAATTTTATTCTTTCTTGCATCTCTAGAATAGATTACAAAGATTGAAGAAAATGACTTCGTATAATTCCATCTTGCAATGTACAAATCACAGAGTCAAACCCAGCAAAGAAGTCTGTACGTAGTTTCCAACACTCACCTAGGCAAAAGATCTTTCAACCTTTATGTAATTGTTAATCACTGATTTCAGAAAGCTTAAGTGATGCTTCAAGTGTAGCATGATTTGTAATTGCTCTATACATATTAATGAAACTGAATGAAACACATTTAACAGATATAAATGATATGAAGCTAAATGAAGACACATTTAACATATGAATGATATGAAGGTAGTGGCTTGCAGTGAGCATTGGTAGTCACTAATAATGACTGCTGCTGTCTGGAAGGATGGATTCACATTCAAAAGCAGACCTGGAATAAGAAGAGGTGTCCCTCAACCCCTCTATTAGTACATTAAAATAGCACAGTGCAAAAGGATGTCAAGTGAGGGTTAGGAAGCAGATTAACTCACTGATTTATGGCACAAGTCGTACCTAAGGCGAGCAATGCAGTGGTCCAGGTTGTCAGAGATTTCCATCAGCCATCCCTGCTTGTGACGCTTCAAGAGCGCTGCTTCATCAACCTAAGGGAAACAGCAGAGATCTTAAAACTCCTGTTTGCCCCATCCAGACCCTTTTACCTTTAGTTTTTCAATCAGCCTTCAAGAAAGAGCAGCAAATAGGTAAAGGCAACAGCCCTGTTTTGGCCTTAAGAATATGGAGTCATTGTTCAGAGACTTATTTTTTACCTCAAGGTTTCTTCTTCACACTTTATGTTTTACTCCAGGCTTGAAGCAAGAAAATCCCCCAAGAAACTTTAACACATCACTTCCCAAAGTATTTTGCAAACCAAAAATTATCCTTAAAATTGTGTAAGAGGTAGTATTTTCTCACCAATTTTAATTATCCTTACTCTGTCTTTTCATTATTATACTGGGGGGAAAAAAACCCCATCAAATAAAACAAAAGCCAAAATGTTTCCAAATTATTTTCCAAATCTATTTTCTGTGGAAATATAATTTCTATTTAATTGAGGAAATATTTCCTTTGATCAGCTCAGAGATAGATGTTTCTGCCTGACTGCCCAGGGTGAAGCGATGGTTTGCTGAATGAAATTGACCCTTACTTTTGTTCTTTGACTGCTGGTTGAAAACCTCCACCAAATATGGGAAAGAAAAGAGGAAAGTGTTTTCTTGTCCCAGCTGGCTAATGCCTCTGAAAACATGGAATGGATCAAAACAAAACTACATCTTTAATTCCCTCTAGTTTGAGCTTGGAAGCTCCAAACAAGCTCAATCCCAAATCTGCGCTCAGCTCCTGTGTATGTCAGTGTGTATATGCATGAGAGACAGCTGGATAGAAATATAAATGGATAGACAAACTGGGGAGGCTTTGGCACAGATTCCATGTTAATGGTTCAATGTACAAACTTGCACATCATTAATACATTTATCATGAGCTATCAGTGGCATAAAGCAAGTAGAAAAATGAATTTAAGCCAATTTTCTATGGCAGCAATGGATTTCAACACCCACAACGGTCTGTGTGCATACGAGCACATAACCTGAGTATCTTCTACTATTTCATTAAAGCATTTTTACTTCTCTATAATCCACCCCCATCATTTCCATTCTGTTATTTCTCATTAACAAAGTATTTAGATGTAAATTAATTAAGTTCCGTATTCAGGAGGTGCCTGAACACCAGGAAACCTTTTCTTTCCTAATTATTCTTAGCATGAGAAACCTTCCAGCATTTCCCACATCAGCAATAAGGACTCCTTCCAAAAGCCCAGATTATGATAATATCAGTGTCACTGCCAATGGAATTACTCACTGAAGTCAGGTGCCATGGGGGACAGCTCCTTTGGGAGCTACTTAAATCAGCACAAGAGGAAAGGTATTAAATGGTCTGTATGAATTACAGGAATTGGGTTAATTTAAACCTTGGTATAACAAAGCAGATCTATTTAAATCTGTTACCACATCCTACATGTTTTACTTCAGCCCTGACAGTCTTGGCCTTTCACAGACTCAAGAAAACTAGCTTGCTTTAAACCACAACTTGCAAAACATGCTCATTTTTGATCAGCATCTCAGTAGGTTTAAAAGCCACACAAAGATGATGAGCTGCTGTCAGCTCCAGTGTGACAGTAAAGAGCTTTAGTGCAGCTCAGAGGAGATGTCTGGCCCTCTACACAATTATTTCATAAATGACAATCTGCTTCATGTCAAACAGGAGAGGTAAAAGACTTGCCCCATTAATCCCTTCTGTCTGAGCTTTGGAAGCCCTGGCTGACAAAATGACATCTCTTGCACAATTCTGCAATGCCATTTGCATAAATAGTTCCTTAAATAAATAATATGTACATATATACAGCTATCCAGATGTGCTCCTGAGACTCATTTCCGACAGGGATCATCTCACAGGAGATAAAAACCAGGCGATATTCAGTCTCCTGAACAAAATCATCTGCAGCCACAGAGATGAAAAGGACAAAGGGCTGCTGTGAATAGCATTGACTGGAATCTTCCCTTTGTATTTCAGCATTTGAAAGCTCACAATGACAGAGTAGAAGTCTGAATAAAGATATTTTATTCAATAATAATTTGGTCAGTAATAAATTGAATTGATCTAATTTGCAGGGAGCACCTGATGAGATCTCAGATACCTGCCAAACTCCTGTGCTAACAAGACTTTTACACCATCATTGTAAAACAGATGAAACCTAATCTCAGTCTCCCCTCTGTCAAGTTAAAGCCATTCCCTCTTGTCCTGTCCCTACAAACCCTTGTCCAAAGCCCCTTTAGGCACTGGAACTGCTTTCAGGTCTCCCCAGAGCCTTCTCCAGGCTGAACAAGCCCAGCTCTCTCAGCCTGTCTCCATAGGACTCTTGAAGTTTAATTATAACATTTTCTGTTTAAAATTGTTGCAGTGTTTCTGTAGTCCATCCCTCTATCTGAGATGTGGTAACAGAACCCTGTGATCAGCAGAATAGCTGAAAAATGCAGGTTATTATAACCTAATATTAATTTTTAATATGAAAACGTATTTCACTCAAAGCTTACAGGTATATATACTTACCAAAATTATGAATTGTGGTGTTCTTCATTGTGTATGATACTTAAGGGTATCCATGGATCAAGTGGAATCTATTATACACTATTCCAATTGCTTAGACATTAGTCTTCAAATCACAGACCCATAGAATAGTTTGGGTTGGAAAGGACCTTAAGATCACCTAGTTCCAAGCCCCCTGCCATGGACAGGGACACCTCGCACTGACTGGATTATCTTTGTTTATATGAGGAAATAGCTGGATTACTTTAATATATTTGGAACAGAGAAACATCACATCAGGACAAAAGACTCTACAAAGAATATATACTCTAGGTGAGCTTCAGGGAACACGGTACTGTCCCTGCCCATGGCAGGGGGGTTGCAACTAGATGATCTTAAGGTCATTTCCAACCCCAGCTGTTCTATGATTCTACTGCAGAACTTCCTCCCCATCAGCATTTTCCTTTAGCAGAACTTACCTTCACTGTCTACAAGCTTGGACTCTCATAAGTGCTTGTAATTAAACCTCATCATCTTCATACTGAAACCAACCTTAACGTTCTCAGTTTTACAAAATCCCATTGACTTCAAAGAATCACACCACCAAGAACTTCATTGTCCCAATCTTGACGAGCACATCATACCAACACTTTTAACGAGGACTTTCCGTTGCACCTGATAAGGGTGCAAGAGGCATTAAAGGTTAATTGCAATGTAACTAACACTTTTTTAACGCAGACTTCTTTGGCATAAAAGAATGTAGTTCCCATGGGAACCGCCTGTGGCAGTTACACCCTTTCGCACATGAAATGAGGGTAGCTCAAGCACTGAGAATGGCTCATCTGACAGCATCACCTTGCATTATTTGTGAAGCAATCACAAGAAGTTACAGTCCATATCCTACAGTCTGATCCAGTCAGTGAGCAAATACAGAGTGAAAAGTGCTCTGCAAAGGACAGTTCTATGAAAAGAGTAATTTTCACTGAGTTTGGCTTGTCAGGGTTACTTGAGGAACATGTCAGATCAGGAGAATGAGGGTTCTGATTCAGCACATGAAGGAGAGAAGACAGAATGAAGGAAGCATCACTCTCACCTCTGCAATGATCCCCACACACCCAGCAATGACTGCAGCCTTTGCTTGTGCCCCACTCATCCCTCCAAGACCCGAAGTAACAAACACCTTTCCAGACAGGTCTTCTGCCTTCAAGTAGCGACGGCCTGCGTTGAGCACTGTGAGCTGCACACAACACAACACAGCCATTACCAGGAGCTATTTTTCCTGCAGTTCCTGACATTCAAAGGTCTTCTGTCCCTTTTGGAAAGATAGTTTGAAAATCAGGGGTCGTTTGGACTCTGAAACTGGTTTAATCTTTTTAAAAGGAAGCATGTTAAAGTGATGATATGGCCTGTCCTCGTTATGTTTATTTCTCTCACAAAGAAATAGAATACGATAATCAGTGGTTGCAAACATGCTGCTTTTGGGGTATAGAGACATTTGGGGTATAGAGACATGTTTAGGACCACTGCAGAAAATAGCTAAAGAAAACAGCTAAGAAAACAAGCTAAGAAATGTTTTTCTCTAACACATTTGGTCAATTCATACTCACTTACTGTAGCTAGACATGAGCAGATTGAGACCTAGATTCCTTCAGGTCTGTGTGCTGGGTAACATGACACAGACTGAGTGAGGATCCTCATTTTTCAAGGAGCAGGCAATGAGAATATCTTTGGTAGCAAGAACATCACCTTAGAGCAACCCAATCCACTCCAGTCACCAGCCCACTGCTGAGACACCCTCCTCCAGGAAGTATTCACTTTTAGCAGTTTCTTACCACAGTGCCATGGACTATTCCCTGAGGCCCAATGTAGCAGTAGCTCCCTGCAGTCATCTGACCATACCTGGCAATAGCAAGGAACACAGTCACACCACACGTACTCCGGCTGGAATGAATTCTGTACCTGTCTACATATAATTCCATTATAACAAAAAACCCATCTCTGCTTTGATTAGTTGTTAAAGATCTGCTATTATCAAATTACAGCTTGAGTTTCTTGATTAGCACTAACATGTTTTTGGAGGAGAATTTAACTCCTTAAATTGAGTTCAAAAACTCATGGATCAAAAAGCTGGGTGTAAACTTGATTTGACATCAATGTGGCTAGAAGACAAAGACACTCCTTTTCACCTTGTTGGCATCTTTATGCCACTGGCTTTCAGTGGCATTCACGCTTTTAAGTCACATTGTCACTTTTGAAGTTGTTAGCCCAAAACAATGCTCCACATTGTTATGAAATTCCCAGGAAAGTGGCAATGGATATTCTCTATTCACATCCTTCCTTTTCTTCCAGCTTCCTTATCTGAACACACACAGTTCGCTAGTGGTTTTAATTCATTCTCTCCACAGTACACAACAGAACAATAATCCTGTGCTCATCAACTAGATCAGCAGTTAAAAAGGGGATAGTACTAATAATTAAATATACGTATATATAGATACAAAAAGAGTTAAGTTTCTACTTCAAAACTTTCAGTGTGAAGGAATGTTTCAGAACTTGCCTCTTCTGTAGACTGCAAAATTACTGCTGCAAAGTGGAACTAGCCAGTGCTATAAGAAGGTTATGATGGAGGCTTCAGGCTGTAATTCAGCCAAATCTCACACATAAACCTAAGGCTAATTCCCAGCAGACCTCGATTACAGCCATATATATGGCTGGAGATAACTCAAACTCCTCCGTGACTTCACTAATGCTTTGTAGCATCAGGACTTTATGCAACACAGTTGAAATCCATCTGCATTAGAAAGTTTAAGCAGCCACTACTTGATGCCCGAGTTACATTTTAGTCAAGTATTTGATGTATTTTATTAGTGAGATATCTTCTTACATTGTTACTCCCAAGGCAAACAGCTTCTCGTACTCATCTCTGGAGGAATAGTTGGGAATAACCTAAGAAAAAAAATCAAAAGAAAGCCCACATTAGCAAATTAAGAGATTTAAGCAGATCTGTTGAACTTACTTTTCTCTAACTATGGTCACATACATAGAAAGACATTGAAAACATGAGGAGTAATTCAGGTGGTTTATTCCATGCATTCTAGTATTAGAAAAAGAGCATGGGAAGTGTGTGGTCTTCCTGGCAGTGTGACTGTAATGCAGTTCTCTAGGCACAAAACTAGCCCGCAGGGAGATAGAAATTGAATGGCCTAGAAGACTGGCAATGAACCAGCATGTTCACTTGTCCAGCTTGGCTTCCAAGCAAAGCAGTCCAGGTACCCGAGCAACTGATTAACAATCATCAATTTGCCTATGAGGACTTTTAAGTCTTCCAAACTGAGCCTAGCTGAAGTGTTTTGGTCAAGAACATGGACAACTCATGCTCAGCCAGAACAGAAGCTGTCTGATAAGGAGAGGATCGATCCCTCCATCACTGCAGATCAGCACACTTGAGGTGAGAGCGACTGTACTGGAATAAGTGCTGCAGAATTTGGACCCCAGATTCTCCTTGGGGTTGGTGTAAACTCAGGTAGCATAAGTAACATTTTAATTCAAACACTTGTAAACCAAACAGAAGAGGAGGAAAAAGAGAAAATGAGATGCTAATACCTACCATGCCATTAGTAATGATTAATCGAGGAGCGTAGCGATGGAAGATTCCCAGAGGATGCCCACTGTACATAACTAGTGTCTGCTCTTCAGTCACCTCTGACAAATAGTGCATTACCAACCAGAACTGAAAAGGAAGGCAAGGAAAGTGAGGGAATCTGCATCTTACAGTCATGGTTTTTTGTGAAGCTGCTAAACTTTGAGTATGAAGACAGCTATAATGAGCTGCATTCACATATGGAATAACAGCCAGAGCTCTCAACACATTCTTGCTTTTAATGAAGTGCATTAAGAGATATCACTCA